CCACAGTTTTATTCTCTCAGGTGATGATTGCTCCCTGACCAGCACTGACCTCCCCAGCTCTATAAAGGATAACTTTGAGTCAGGCAGTGTGTCTCCGCAAAGCTGGCAGCTGATTCAGGGAGGCGGAGTGGGCAATGGCTGTGGACAGCTTTCCCCACATGCCCATGGAGACTCGCTCTACTTTAATGGCTGTAAGATGAGGCAGGCAGTTACTAAACCGCTAGACCTCACTAGGGCCAGGTACAGGTACTACCAAAACATATCAACTTTTTATTAACATGCACATTTAATATTACTTGCAGCCATAATAAATATTGCATTTCTGATATATATAGACCGATTCTTCTCTCTAACTATGTCTGCCTCTTCTCTGTCTCCTTACAGTAAAATCATGTTTGTGCTGCAGATTGGCAGTGTGGCACAGACAGACAGTTGTAACATAGCACTGGACCAAGCAGACACAGTGGACCGTGCAGTTTTATTACAGTACAGTGTCAATAATGGGGTTAGCTGGCACGTCATAGCTCAGCACCAGCCCAAAGACTTCATAAAGGCCCAAAGAGTCTCTTACAACATTCCACTGTGAGTACCAACCATAGGCCTGTAAATGTATATATATAACACTTAGTTATGTCTTAGGAGTGTATTGGCAATGTGTAATTTATGACTGTAATCTGTTGTCGTCACTAAAATATGTGTTTTGCCTCTTCAGAGAAGCCAGGGTTAAAGGTGTGATGCTGCGATGGTGGCAGCCGCGGCATGGCGGTGCAGGACATGACCAGTGGGCATTGGACCATGTGGAAGTAGTTCTGTGAGTACTTCATTTCCCAACGACCCCAGGCCTCGACTGGCCCCTACAAAGCCCCTGATCTGCTCCTTTCTGCCTCAAGTAAAGAGCAACATTTTCACTCAAACACAGGGATTTTCGCATAGTACACGTGCGCAGTAAATGCTTAACTGGCTGCATTATTATATGGGCTTTTGTCAAGCAGTGGCTTGCAGCTTTGGGCTTCAAGCCCTTATATTTTCAGTATCATGCAGAAGTCGAACATCTTACATATGGATAGCATGTTAAAAACTGTTAAAATGCTAAAAAATATTTATAGTTTTTAACATCATGGTATATATTCCAAACTTTACTCTGTATTCTGCATTGCACTGAAAATGTGTTGCTTCAGCATATAGTAAATCTTACATACAAATGGAAAGCATTTTGAATGAATTGTCTGCATGTGCTATGGCTATGTCCTAAAATGACCCATGTCTCAATGGATTAGATGATTGTTATTACCAGTGCATTTCAAATAAAGACTGAGAAATATATTTAATAGCACATACATATAGACAGACACATAAGAATACATGCATTTTGTCCCAATCTGCCTGAGCTGTCCCTGTTAATGTGGCCATGACCTGTTCCACCTGCCTCCACTGCCTGGTTTTCAACAGTGTCTGCTGTAAAGAGTCACATGGTCCTCACACTGTGCTCTGTTTATTTCTCTCTGTTACCACTCCTTTACACCACTCCTCTTTTGCTATGGCCCAATTGTTTGATTTGCCCTCCTGCATTCCTTCCTTGCTTATTATGCACTCGCTCCTGTGCTTGTAATACATTTTATCCACACAATCCACGGACTCCTCTTCCTTCAACACTTGCCCTGTTTCCTTCAACCTTTCTCTCTCCGCACTTGTGGCATGCCATCTTTGGGATGCTGTTCTATATTCTTTTTTCCCAACTGATTGCTGTCCCACTCTTCATCATCCTTTTCAAATGTCTCTCTATCCCCTATTACTCTTGACTCTTTGGCCTTCTCTTTTTCTCTTCTTCTCTTTGCTTTGGCCCAGCCCCCAAAGGCCGGGGCTCTTGCCCTCTCAGACCTTTCTACGGGACAGCAGTCCTCTCCTCCTGTCTCCCCCCTCTCGCGCTCTAACCTCTGCTCTCTTCTGTATTCTGCTCCCTCTGGCATGGCTGTAGTGTCAGGTAAGTTTTCGTCACTTCCTGATTGCAGCCCTCCTTCACCTTATCCCTCTGTTGTCCTTAGCAACCCTGACTCATTTCATTTGTCACAGACCCTCACCTTACCACAATCATGTTCACGCCCTCGCTTTGATCAGTGCACTGTCGCTCTATGGGCGAGCAGCCGCCCACTGTCCAGGTGGAGGCAACACACAGTGACAGCTCTCACACATGACCATACACCCAACTAACTGCAGTGTACTACTTAAGGTGTGACATAATGTTGGCAGGACACTATCTTCTGTGTATCTGTCAAGTGTATATAATTGTACTGTACTAATCTATGTATTTTAATGTGTGATGGCGTGCATCACTATATCTGTTGACTTTGTTTTTGCTAATGTCCCAGGCAGTGAAGAAATTTAATCCAGTATATAGATTATATGATTTTGGTTTCGTTGAGCCAAAGCACTGATTTACGTCTTTGTGCACCAATTACTGCTGCAAGTGATTGCATCTGGTGTCATTTTTTTTTGACTAGGTCCATTTTGTGGGGAGTTTAACTTGAGTAAATCTTACTCAAACACTCTGCATGGCTTTCTGCAGTAGCTCTGCCCCTACGTCACTCATGTCTGTCCACAGACAACATGAAACAACCAGGAGCTGAGCCTCACTGCTTTCGTCTCCACCACACCATACCAATTAACAGACACACCTCCATGCTTCCACCTCCTCAACATCAGCCATGACACACACCATCCTTTACCCCGCCCCTCCCAACCCCACGCTTCACAGAGGCACCTGCCTGCTCTGGCTGCTCTCCTGGCTCACCGCCACCGCTCTGCTGGATGGAAGAAGCAATAACAGGCTAAGCAAGCGCAATCTCCTGCAGCTCTTTTGTATTTAATTTCAAACTCATCCCCTCCCAATCCTGCACTTCGATGGCTTTCATTTTTTTCCAAGTTTTTTTTTTCTTTAGGAAAACTGGGGCCTCAAACACTCATGCCTGAGTTGCCCTCATGTTGGTGGTAGTGTGTGTGTCATGTCCTGTATCTTGTCCGTGTCCTGCAACATTTAGTTAGCCCTGACACATGTGCCTTGCTTTTTAGATAACTCATATGTTAAACATACACACACTTTGTTTGGAGTAGAGTAGACTACCATTTTTAAATCCCATAGAATTGTCGAGAGTTTGAGGTTTTGACTTCAAACCATCATCTTCATCAAGTAGCAGCATGAAAAGTAGTGTATAGAAGCTGCATTAGTTATTCTGGCTGCATGGCAAGTGCATGAGAACAATTACATTTTAGTGCCTTAATTCTAATGTCCAATACTGCTCCTTTCCCTTTTACTGTGTCTTTGTCCCCCCAGCACTCGCAAGCAAAACTACATGATGAACTTTGCCAGACAGACCGGCCCGCGCCACTATTACAGCCGAAAGAGGCGGGCACTGCGACTGCACGCCTGAACCTGTGCTGAGACGGGATTCGCCCATTGACCTGCCAGTCACCGCAACCCATGCACACCCTTATTACTCCTGACAACACGTTTGCCCTGCTGAGTCCCATCCACCACCTCCTTGCCTGTGGACTCCAGTCAGCTATACCTCTTCACAAACCTCCTCTGGCACTAAAGCAGGCTATATTCAACCAGTTTACACACCAGCCGTTCGCAAGCACACGGGTCGGTGGAAGAGCAAATCAGAAGAAAGGAGTCGAGCAACCATTTTGTTTACTTTTTTCCATGGATGGTCAGGGTTTCTTGTTGTTTTCTAAGTGTTGCAATGTATAAACGTCCCTTGGCGGTTTTTCCTTCTCTGGCTTACCCCACCTCTCCCCCCTTGTTCCAATCATATCCTCCAACCACACTGTGAATTTCAAAAGTATTATCACTGCTGAACTTTACCAGCCAATAGGAGAACTCCCATCTCCACTGAGCCGCTGAGGGAGAGGACCACTCCACTGCCAAAACCATAACCGTCCATAAGTGAAGAAATGGCGATACAAAAAAATATAAAAATGATTTCTGTGTTGTTGGTGTTTTGTGTGTCTGTGGGTTATTTACGTGCTGAGTTGACTGTGCTGTTCTCTTTGTTTGTTTTCTACTAATTCATATGTTTTTATGAAGGGAAGGGTTGTGGGGCTACTGGGTTAAGTTTCCTTCAGAGCTGGAGCGGTTGGATGTAGGCAATGGTGGTACAAGCCCCACCTCCTTGACATGAAGGAACTCAAGAATGATTTGCACGACATGGAAAGATGAAAAATTAGAAAAAAAAAGACTGACAAATGTTTGTTTTTTATCATTTTTTATATATGTTGGCTCCCGAGAATACAGATATTTATGGTAAATGGTTCTTCACGTGACCTATTTAAAATGCACTGTGCGTGAAATCTGTATGTTTTTTCTAGTGTTAAGTTATTAGGCAGTCGAGTCCGGCTCTCAGACTGCACCATGTCCCCTCTCCCCTTGACTTCTCTTGTGATGTTGGCCCCAAACCCCAAAGCCCTTGATCTCTCTGCTGATTTCTGAAACCTGGAGGTGAGGCTCTATTAGTGTTGTTTTTTGAAGTCTGTGTAATATGGACCCTCTACCCTCAGTGTTACTCCAGTATAGCAATCTCCTGTATATATATGTATATCCACTATGGGGAGACCCAACAGCCTTATAAAAGGGAAATAAAGACCTGTCCAAACCTCAAACTGTACCTGCCTCTTCTTGCAAAATACACGCACTTAGGGTTGTGACCCATTGTGTGAGTCATTTCTGTTTGTTATTTTGTTACAATTACCGTAAAAGGAAAAATGGAAATACAATTTCTAAATCTAATTTTCACATTTCACTTTACATTATACTTATTGTTTTATGTGCAAAATGTAGTGCAGTAGTTAACAATGTAAGATTTCTTTTATATATGAAAATGTGTCTCCTTAACCACTGTATATAAAAGCTTTAGGTTGTGGTTTAGCACATCCTGTTTTTGTCTCAAAATATGGCCTATATGTCACTGAAAATATAACCTACAATGAAGTATCAAATGCTTAAGTAAAATGGTACATGTTTTTATTATTTCCTATAAAATTCTTAAAAGACATTCAATTTACAATACAAATGATAAAATATTTTCTTTTGGTTTCAGTTGCAATCAGTGCTTCAGCATTAGTCAGTGCTGAGGCTGTCAAATCAGCACCAGTGCAAACCGGTGCTGTTTAATATATTTTTTTTAAAAGTCCAGATTTTTACAGTCCTATCAGTGTTAGTGACCGACCACCTATGATAATGAACAGTGTGACGAAGTTGGTTGTGATGCCTGTTCCAGAGTTACAGTGGGACCAATCGCAGCATGAGTAGCTTGTGTTGTATATGGCTCCCCTCAGGCTGATCTTTTTCACTTGTCCACACTTTTCCAGAAGCATACATCCCCTGTGTACGAGTCCGTTGTGGGTCCCGTAGCGACCTTGAGCCTTGTAGCACACCTCTTTTGGGGGGCACTCGGTCACCACGAGCTTGAACGTCCCCTGTTCCTCCGCGGTCAGGTACGGGCTGAAGTAGCAGTGCAGGTTTTTACAGAGCAGAGCGGGCAGCATGAGGTAGAGCCACAGCAATGAGATATGCACGGCTCTCTGTCTGCAAGGTAAAAAATAGATGTTAAAACTTTACTTAGAATGTGTTTTTTTCTGTATTACTCTTTTGGTAGTAGATTTCAGATTGCTTCCCGAGTATTCCAGGACTTTTTTTAGAGACCTATTAATGCCTACGCAAATAAAATGACACAATTTAACTTGACTGTATGAAGTGATATACAACTTACTTCTCTTAACTGTTTCAGGGTATTTTGCAATTTAAGTCTGGACACGCAAACTTTTGCCATTTGATTTTTCAATTACGCCCCAGAATTGCGCTTAAACAAGACTTTGCGCTTCTGCCCAGGTGTTACCAGTTAACTTTAAACCATTTAACATTTATCAAACATTTGATACAATTTCTACAAGTATACACCATTAAAACAGTTTTACCTTGACATTGTGAAGGTTGAGTTGGCAGACAAATCCTTCTAGTTCTTCCTCCTAAAATATGAGACCTCTCTTCTGTCTTTCTGTGCAGAGAAAACCACACCCCTCCTGATCATTCGTAAAGACCACCCCACCAAAAAACTGCTAATAAATGTCCATATATGGTGATAAAAAGCATTTTATTCATTATAATCAAGAATTCAAACCAGAAAGGATGGCTGACAGGTCCACCTTTAATTATCTGGCGCAGCAAAATTCATTTTCATCATTATGCACACATAAAATTAAAAAATGTTCTGGTTGAGCGCCTTTGGATACCAGGCCTCTTCCTGTAGTTTCCATGTCATTCATTTTCACTTTTGAACATTGGTGGCGATGTATAATTGGCACACGAATCAAAAGGCTCCTCTTGGACAACCGAGATCGTAACACTGACGCTCCTTTCAGACATCGGCAAGAAGTGGTTGCACGTGTCTTTGCAGCAACAGGTGTGACTGACGTTGTACCTGACGCCGAGACGGAACTGGAACCCATGGGACCCGCAGAGATGTCTTTTGATGCATCCCTGGGCGGACACGACCTGGATGGCACCGTGGTAGCCATGGGAGTTAGCGCACACCTCATCGGGCAAACATCGGGTGGTAATGAAGGGGCACGGTTCGGGTTTGAGTTGCAGTGGGCAGTAAAAGCACAGCAGCGTGTCCTTCCGCAGAGATGGGATAGACAGAGGCGTGGTGGTTAGCAGGATGGAGAGCAAGAAGCAGCCCGGGACCACTACGCAAAAACTTACCAGAAGAAAAAACATGTATAGTTAATAACTGTACCTTAAATACTTGAGTGCATATTTAATTATTGTGTTCACCTTTGTGTCCTGTGTAGCCACATCTTTTCTTTACATAAACTTACAGAGGAAAATGGAAGACTTTGGAAAAAGAGGAAACGCCACGCTAATTTTCAAATCGAATCAGGTGCGTCTTATATAAACGCACATTTGTGAGATTTGATCGTTTCCTGCCATACATAACACGAAGATTAATAGTGGCGCATGTAAAACGCTTGCTACAAAGTATGCTACAATATTTGCTGTTAGAAATGTATCTTTTGAGCCTAATGAACAATAAAACAACACTGCCATCTGCTGTCCAAGTGGCGCAAATGAAGCTTGCCGACACGGGCTCCCAAACTTTTCAGGTCACAACTTCCAAAATAACATGCAAACATATTAAATTAAATAGCCATTTTTATTTCCAGTTACTTTTTAAGTAGTTTATTCCAATGTTTTCACTTTATAAAGTCAATTAAGAATAAAAGAAATTAATAAACCTATGAAACATGAGTAAGATAACATATATAACGTTTTTATATTTTTGTTCTATCTTGCACATTTGGCCATCTTAAAAAATTGGATGAAAACTAAATTTGCCAAAACCTAATAAAATTAAATATTGTCACAAAGGTGTTTCTTCATTTTCATATAACATCTCAGTCCCAGAGTCAGTTTCCTGATTCAGAATTAAGAGTTAGACGTCCATATCTGTGCAGTGGTTCCTAAAGCAAAAAATAAATAACATAAAACAATATTAATACTGTGTAATTTAATGTTACTTTTGCATGTTTTTCAGCGACTTGCCTTCTCTGTCTCATCTTCACTGCCGTACTGTAAATCATCTTCATCTTGTTCTGCAGGGTCATATGTGTACATGGGGATCAGCCTGTGACGCAGCTCATCAGCCCTGGACATAAAGGTAATGTCAATACACTTTACTTCAATAAATGTGATCTCAAATGTATTCTACAACTCACAGATATCGACTTTTGTAGTACAATCCCTGAAACAAAGTAATGCAATAATTAGGGAGTCAACAGAAGTGGAGGAACCTGTTTGAATCTTTAAAAATCACACCTTTAAACTTTCTATTGAGTAACTTTTCTGTTGGATGGCCTGCTACCTATTTGTCTCCATACAGATTTTATTGCTTTGCCTGGAATGCCCCACAGTATGACTTTAAACTAATCCATCCTTATAGAGACAAGAAGGAGCCGCCACTAAACCCAGTTACAGCTCATGTTTGTGGAGAGGACCCTGCTGATAGTAAGAATGTGTTTTTATATGAAATTTTGAGCAATAAAATTACCTAAAATACACCTAAAAAGAGTAAATACACCTTAGAAAAGTTGAATATCAGAGTGTGGAAAAGTTACATAGTGCAACTTTAAAGTATTGAAGGTGCTACACAACTTGAGTCTTTAAAACAAGTACTTTAGTAGCGCAACAACAATCTTCAAATACTTCTAGCAGTAAAATTGTTACTTAACCACTACTCTACTGGCCTTTTCCTCTATTATACAACCTGTCAAATATGTTAGCACCAAGTTTCTGTCCACCACAGCATATTGACTTTCCTTTAAACGCTTGAATAGTTCTTACCATTGCCACCACGACCAGCATGACCAGGACAATGGGGATGAGAAGGAAGTAAGCATGGTCATTATTGTGCGGTGATGGCGAGACGTACGGTGTCGTATGGTTCAAATAGTCCTCCATCTATTCTTCATAGGCCCGGCCACTCTCTGTGCCCCTACCAACACCTCAGTGATACATTTAGTGCAGGGTGGGAGCTGCTAATTCCACAGAAAACCAAAGGCAGGGATCTTCAACACTCTTCATTTTCTCCTCCTTCACATCAGTCACATCAGTATTGTTTCAGAGCAAAACAAGTGATTGATTCCTGTAACTTTAAAGTGCCCGTAATAGTTGGAGTTGAAACGTGTCACTTACAGAAAAACAAAGCTGAACCTGCTCACTGACATTCCAAAGCCAGGAGTGGGTATGGTGCCACATGGACCAATTTGTGTGCTATTTTTATTGGACACGTATTTGCTTCAATATTACACAACTAAATCAAATTATGGATAATTACTTTCTCTTAAAGGTACAGTGTCTTATTTCTTGAGTGGTTTGATTGACAGGTCTATTGCTTTTAAAGCCACCGTACTTGTATGTATTGTCATGTTTCCACCAGCAGAGGTCTTAATGTTTTGACTTGAAGGAAAGAGGAGGGGCTCCAGAGGTGAGGTGGTGAGGAAATGCACTCTGCTCTGTACTAGTCTAACCAGCTCAACATGACGTTGGACAGGTCACCAGGGACCTTTGTGTGTTGTGGTAAGTCTAGACCAAAATTGTATTCATAATTGTTTGTCAGATTTTACATTTAATTCTTCTGGACTTTGATTAGCTGAAAAGTTATTCAGAAGTTGTATATGTTTTACTTTCACTTTTGTAATACTGTAGCTTTAGGGCTTTATGTTAAAAGCTAAAAAACTATGAAACGAATTCTCTTCTCTATAAACTGTTCTAAAAGTTCAACAAATTTGAAAAAAGTACAAATAATAGCAAGGTGAAAGTGCCTCTTGAAGAAAAGACTGGTGTGAAAAGACTTGTGTTAAGAAGTGAGTTGAAGTTTGTTAATGATTAAACTAGCATTCTAGGCTGCAGATTGTGCCGGGAAACTTTAGATATTTGTCAAATGGCAATGCTTTATGGCCAAGAACTGTTTGATCATCTGTTTTTGTTTTAGGCTCAAGGAGCAGGTGAAATGTATAACAAGGACTTTTAGACTTGCTTTCCATAAGGTGCTATAATGGATCCAGCCAGGAGGCGCTGTGAATGGTTGAACAGACAGAATGCAGAGGTCTCAGACGAACCCCTGCCCCTCAGAGATGATTTAGAAGCACAAGGACATTATGAATCTATTGAAGCATTTCCAGATAATGAGGAACACATCTACGAATCAACTATACAAGGAATCATTCCCCCAACCAATCAAAGACCAATACCAAAGCCAAGGAGCAGGAGTACAAGCAATCAAACACAGCAGGCCATCAATGGACTGCAGAGGACCAGATTTTCAGAATATTTGCCCGGACGACAAGGAATCCCCCCTCCGCCTTTGCCCCCAAGAGGACCCCTCCTCCAAGCACGCTCTGCAGAATCAAGAGAAGAAGCGTTCACTCCCAGATTACCCCGGTCCAGGACAGAATTTAATGTTCACGTAAGTGTTGCAATTAAGCCATTTACACTGGTGGATTTAACAACGTTTACATGTGAAACCTTTCTGTGTAAATTGTACTCATATTTCATTAATAATAGTTTAACAATCCATATGCACCCCTACATGAAAAAAAGTGTTTGTCATTTTACGTTGACTGCACATTGAGAATGTCTGATATCGTCTGATCTCGGAAGCTAAGCCTGGTTAGTACTGAGATATGAGGCCACTGGGAACACCAGGTGACACAGTGGAGCAACAGTGCGTACTGTTTGCACTTTAAATATACTATTAAGTTGTTTGACCCAATTTAATAGAACAAAAATATTATACTACTGTTAGTAGAGTAGGTATTTTCTCTTTAATGTCACAATTATGTTAATAGCATTACATCTCTTTCTTCTTCAATGAAACTAGGATCCATGGACTATAACCCTGGTAGATACTCCACAGGGCAGCACCAAATCACTGTCCACTTTTAGTTCATCCATCTCACAGTAAGACACCGTTTTGCTTATTTCACGTGTATGAAATGTTGACCAGGAAGTCTATATATATATGATGTTTATCATCTTTCAGACTGATGTCACGTTACAAACACACAGATGAGCACAACACAGGCATTGTGTGGGCTCGTCTGTCGCACATCCACCCAGCGCTGCTCCAACAGGTGGAGGTCACTGTGAGCGTGGCTACAGACTGGGACAGCCACCAGCTCCCCTTCCCCACTCCAGGTAACACACACGCACTAGTTATAGAATATAAATGCAATTTTTCTGTGTTCAGTGTGTTTTATATTAATATTAGGGATGTACCTCTTAACGACAACAAAATAGGTAAAATTAAATGTGTACAGCAAAAACACCTGTAATGTAAGACAGACACATTAAATGTAATAGTGTGGAACATTCCATGGAGACAAGCAGGTGGTTGAAAGTTATAATGTACCTTTTAAAGCTAATGTTTCTCATATACATTTCATGACACATACTTCATTAGATTCACTGTTCTACCACTTGAGACTTGTTGATTATATTCAGACTCTAAACTCTGGTCTGTTTCCAGTGAATCGAACAGTCAATAGTGTGATTGATGAAGTCTTTACTTTGTTGGACATCCCGCGCCACGCCAACGGCCGCTACGTTTTAAAATTGTGTGACTCTGAGGAGTACCTCCATAAGTAAGTCAATGTCAATGTAGCTGAATAATATGGATGCACTGTATATTGTAAAATAAAATAAATATTATGAAAGACTAGACTTACTACAGCTCTTCAGAGCAAGTTTTTTTTTTTAATGAATTCTCTTCTCACATTGCTTTGAACAACTGAAATTAATTGATGTTTACCATTTACTTATAATGCTTTGCATGCTGTATCTTTGGTAAATTTCTCTTTTTTTCAGTTCATACACTAACAGTGCATTGATTGACTTGACTGCATAACTTTCTTTTGTGTCAGTGAGGAGCTCTTGGGAATGCACGAGACCATTCAAATCTATGGCAGGTTCAACTACATAGTCCCTCTGCGCTTACTGCACATTAACGACTTCAGGCACTGTCTGGCCCGAGATGTGAGTCACTCCTATGGCATTATCTATGTTGTGTTTTTTCTTTAGTGAACATTTACCATAAGAGGCTGGCCTGGTTTCTCCACATGTTGCACCTGAACTTGGCACAGGGCCAGTTTATTACGATCAGGGTGGGGGTTTTACAGCTGTACATCAGTTGACTTTGTTCTGTTTACCCAGTATGCTGCCAGTGTTGCCATTAAACAAGAGCAAGAATCAGATTTTAAGTGTTCAAAGTCCATCTATAAAGCCCCAGGATCTAAACCTTTAATATTGTTATTCCTAATTAGAGGTGTGCAAGATTGACAAAAACAAAAATAATAATATCTAACATAGTATAAGATATAATATAGGAAATAAGGACATATAATAATAATAATTAGTCATGTATTATTGGTTGAGTACCCCTAATTAGAGCCAGGTAATATTGACAAAAATAATATCCTATAATATTATGGCAAAGATACTGATATGCATACAATGACAATCCATCAGAAATGTGCTAAAAATGCCCTGGTTTAGGTTCCAATACTGCGTAAAAATTAATTGACTGAAAAATTAAACATAAAAAATTGAATATCGTTTATATACTTTTACATTTAAGATGGTAAATTTATTTATTTTTATTAGTTATATACTCTTTTTCAGCCTTTAGTTTTTATTAGAAACAATATTCTAACTTTGCATACCTCCAAATTAGACCTGAACAATTTTGAACAAGCATTGCATTTGCGGTTTGGGATTCAGTTCAACGTTGACATTTGGGAGAAGACTGAAACACGAACACCTAATCATTACAAGAATAAAATACATTTCAGAATATGTTTTTAGAGGTCTGAACTACAGGGCTCGCAGATTTTATACATAAGACCAGATATTTCGTTTTTGCAGAGGAAATAGGGTCTCCCCACGCTTACGTCACAAACCAGGGAGACGTTTGGAAAGATGTGATTACAACATCCGGTGTAGTTACCAACAATGGGCCATGGATCTATTAAAATAACACAATGGGCTCACCTAACGTTAGGATTATTTTAATAGATCCATGGGGTGAGCAGATGAGATTGGCTGAAATTCAGGACAGGGGTAAGGTAGGAAGGTGTAGGCTTGGAAATGTTAATGCGTTCTAAGTTGCTTTTGTTTACAAACAAACAGAAATCACATTAACTAATAAAAACATTGAGATTTAATATATTATTTTGTTTACACAAAAAATTGAAAAAAATAACATAATAAGAATGTAAACGACAAATCGGGATCTTGAACCCAGAGCGTCTGCACTAAAGACTACAACTTAATGTGGTGAGCAAAACTACATGAAATAGAGGAAAGCTTTGTTGTGGCTCTGCCTCACCTGCCTCTCTTGGCTCCAAACGCGGTGGCTGCTGCGTACTGTCTGCTCGCACCTTCAGTCAGACGTGCTTCCCTGGAGGCTAGTACGCCTTGCGAACAGAGCATCTAGAAGCCATGAGGGGCTCTCTATGAACAGTTTTAAATGTTTATCAGGAATAACTTGGTATTCTGTTTGTGTAATTTTCGGGACATTTAGGGCTGGATTCGGGATTCAGGACAACAGCTTAGATTTCGGGACATCTGGTTGCCCTATATTTAGATGAAGAAAACTGGGCCTGGGAAGTTGTAACACAGATCTATGAGTTGTAATCGCATCTTTCAAACATCTTTCTTATGTTTGTGACGTACGCGTGAATAGAGCCTATTGTTACTTAAATAAAAGCTGTTGTTGTATTTTGCTAATTGCATCACTTCAAACTGCCATTTTGATCTAATAGCGACAAGCCTTGCAGCCCTACTGTAAATTAAACTTTATTTTTTATATATCCACCTCTACTCATAATTGGTTTCATTCATTAATAAACATTTCTGTCACCAGGGGGAGGATGACAGGACACCTTGTCAACTCTTGCAGTTTTTGCGTCCCGGCTGTTTCTTCAACGTGAGCAAGTAAGTGGCATGAGCCTGATCTTCCTGTGTCAGAGGGTCATGTGTAAACCAGTTTGTGTTTGCAGAAAAACAGAAACAGCTCTCCTCTTTCTAACTGTGCATTTAACTTTTGCTTTTGTCACAGGTTGAGCCTGCATGACGTACTTGGTAATTTCAACAGAGAGGTGGCAACCTTCATGAAAAGACAGGTGAGTATTGACACAGAATCTAAGTCGGACACGTCACAAAACTATAAGGCCATCATACACCAAATATGATGTAAGCAGGGGAAAAATATATGTGAAATGAGTTGTGATGGCAAGATGACTTGGTCAGAGCCTGTTTTGATTTGCAAGAGCTGGGTACCTGCTCTTCACTTTCCACACGTTATTGCTTTGCTTCAGTTTGGAATGTTCAATAGTATGGTTACTTGTCAGTTCTGTTGAGACGTGTGCCAGTTTTTGCTGAAAAGAGAGAGAAGAAAAGCACCTGTAATTAGATGAATGAATGATGGTTAAAAAGAACACTCGAGGCAATGCAGTATCATGGATACCAGCACCTTTTAAAATGTATTGATGGTTTTGATAGAAAAGAGTCAGTGGATACATACCATTATCTTCATTACAGGAAATTGTCTTGAATAATGTGACTACTTTTCTCCTCTTTGTGTCTTTTTGACCTCTCCAGGCAGGGCTCAATGTCCATGCCATCGTAGGCCGTGTCCGCACTATCTGTAATCTTCTGTGTGGAGTCTCCACCCAAGAACTGGAAGATGCCATTGGCATGATCAACAGGGTTAACCCAGCACCCATGGTAACAAATCACACCATTGTAGTCTATAACAGGGAATGCAGGAAATAAGCTGTCATATTTTCCATCTTTTTACTATTTTAGAGTGCAGAGGAAATATCTCAGTGTGAAACTGGTGAGTGTGAATACCCATTATTTCATTCATAACTAATCTCCAGATTTTCATGTTTCCTAGATTTCAGACTTTCAATTTTCATAACAAATTTTTGTAGCTATTCTCACGCTGCACAAGGCCCTTCAAAGAGTACTGCAAGTGTTTTTTGACAACTTCCAGTCTGACTTCAGGGGTCTGGGTGTCGAATACAATTTACAAAGTTGTGACATTGAACAAACAAATGATATTCTTAAGTTCAATGTAGCAGCTCTTTACAAACTACAGCCTGCTTGGATGAGGTATGCCTTTTACATGTAGTTACACACACACACACACACACACAGACAGACAGACAGACAGACAGACACACAGACACACACACAGACACACACAGACAGACACACACACACAGACACACAGACACACAGACACACAGACACACAGACAGACACACAGACACAGACACACACACAGACACACAGACACACAGACACACACACAGACACACACACAGACACACACACACAGACACACACACACACACACAGACACACACACACACACAGACACACACACACAGACACACACACACACACACACACACACACACACACACACACACACACACACACACACACACACAGACACACACACACACACAGACACACACACACACACAGCACACAGACACACACACACACACACACACTACATATTCTACTAACAAACTTTATCTGTGAAAATTTTTCCTTTTATAGTTTTGAGAGTTTTTCCGTGTCCTGTGACTTGGTATATGTAAATACAAAGATTTGTGAGAGCAGTGTGTCAGAGAATATAAGCACTGCGTTGGCCTATGGAACCAAGATCCAGTGCAACAGACCGTGAGTGAAATATCGAGTAAGATTACTCCATTTGTATTTCACAAATCATTTAAAGTTGTTGCGTTTTAGCATGGTGTTCCCGGTTCAACTGAAGAACCTCCCTTATGAAAGCATGCTGAAGTTTCGGCTCATGGCCTCAAAAAAAGGAAGGACTCCAGAGCTCTTATGTTGGGCTGTGCTGCCACTTTTCAATAACACGTAATATTTGTTTTACTATTTTCCTTGAAGATGCATTATGCAACTTTTCTGTTGAAGTATATGCCACCTCCATATAGATGTTATTGTTTTGCCTGGAATGTTCCACACTATGGCATTGTACAAACAGCTGACACTACCAGGCTAAGTTACAGGTCAGAAATGTGGTGAGACTACCCCATTTTAGTTTAAGAATTCAAGTTTTCCAAGGCATTCCTTTGAGCAACAAAGTAGTTTCATAAATGCAAGATGGATGAGTTTAATGCGTTACTGCAGAACATTCTGGGCAAAGAGATAACTTCTTCAAAGGGACAAACAAGGCCCTTACCTGAAAAGTTACACAGTGCACCTTTTAGCATTTCATTATGTGCACTATCATATTCCCCTGGTCCCCTCTATGTGTAGGTCTCTGATAAATGGGACCATCCTTCTGAGTATGTGCTCTCTGACGGAGCACCCTGCACCTCCCTCCCCTGCTCTGTCTGACTCACACAGACAGCCCATGGGAGTCCTCATACAGGTCTGTTCTATCAGATGGTGCTGCCCTCTGGTGGTGAAAATTAAGTTCTCAACACCTGACATTGTTTTCTCTTTAGCTTGAATTTTCACATGAATTTGAATGGACATTTCGACGTCCTTGGGCACTGCCTGGCTCCTCGATATTCACTCAGCCCTGTGAAGATGTCAACAAGAAAATGCAAGAGGTGTCTATGAACCACTGTCTCTGCTTGTAAGTGAACTCAATCATTTTCTTAGTTATTTTATTGTGGAAAATAATTAATTTACTAATGAACATAATGAAGCAAAAGTAGTAAAGTACTGTACTTAACTATACATTTTAGGTATCTATACTGAAGTAAATTTTAATGTAGATACTACATTTACTTTACTACATTTGAGAGCAGGTATCTGTACTTTTAAGTATTTTTTGTTATAGTTTGAGGCCTTCTGAAAAGACTGAAGGGTTTATTTTTAATGTTCATAGTTTGAGCAAACAAAAATATACAAATGAACACAGCTTGAAATAGTTGTTTCTATAGAAATCATTAGATCTCAAAATACTTTTTACTATATGTCAATTTTTAAACAGTTACTTTAATACTTGCTTTGGTAGATTTTTTCATGTGATACTTTTACTTGAGGATTTTTTGCTCTGGTAGCTGTGCTTTTACTTAAGTAACAACATTTTGTACTTCTTCCATCACTGAATAAATATATATATAATATATAGGTAAATTAATCTTCGTTTACTTGACTTTTTGGTGTGATTGTTTCTAATTTCATCATTGTTTTTAGCTTGACTCCAAATGAAAAAGCGTTTCTCTGGAGCAAGCGGTACTGTGCGGACAAGGGGAACACCTTCTTGCACCTGTTATTGGGGGGAGTGGAGGAGTGGAGACCGGAGAATTTAACAGAGATCTACACGGTGGTAGATAACTGGCCCATCCACCTGCCCGAAGAGGCTCTGTTCTTGCTCAGTGACAAGTATGCTAGAAAAGTCAATCAGTATTTCATCTTTGCACTGTTTTCTCCTTACAACCTCTCTATATAGCTGAAAGAAATGCATATCTCTATACATATCTATATGATTTAAATTGCCATGTTTCTTTATTTTTACTTGTACGAACATTTGTATAATTATGCCTTATTTGACACCATCTTTATTAGTTTTGCTACGTATTTTGAAATTATTATTATCATTTATATTTTTGCTCATATTATAATATATTGTGATGTTCCCTTGATTAGTATAGATAGTCTAATCAGATTATGTACAATAAAATAACATCTGCACTTTTTCAGCTTTCATGACCAAACTGTACGAAAAGCAGCTGTGCATTACTTTAAACAGATTCCAGACAGTGAACTAGACAATTTTCTGCCACAACTGGTTCAAGTAAGCAAGCCTTTATTATTTCAGTCATTACTAAATGACCTTGTCTGTTTGATTGAGTTCTATGACATAAATCAATCAGTGGTTGGTTGTTTTCATTTATTCTTGTTTCATACAGGCTTTAAGAAGCGAGTGGGAACTTGATGGACCTCTTGTTATGCTGCTCTTGGAAAGATCTGTCAAAAACATACGCATTGCCCAACAACTTTACTGGTAAGCACCAAATTAAAATCATGAATTATTCAAAATGTGATATTGTCCTGAGACTTGTTTTAAAATTTGGTATGAGCAGTTTTCTTAAAGCGTTTGATATAGTAATCCTACTCACTTACACATTATGCTTTTTGTATAATTGGACACTAGGTTGCTAGAAGATGCCCACTATGACCCTCATTACCAGAGCTGGTTCAGTAAAGTGCAGGCGGCTCTACGGCACTGCTGTGGTCACACCTTTAGAAAGGAGCTGGAGAATGAAGCCCGTTTGGTCACTCTGCTCACTCACGTGGCTGATAAAGTCCGTCTGGCTGACAAGAGCAAACGCAAGGTCAGTGCTCAGTATCGGACAGGATGCTCCATACATCCAGCGTTAGATTAAGGCAGGTCAATGGCACATATTAGTTACCTAGCCCAACATTGTAAATGAGAATAATTCCTATGTTTTGGTTTGCTGTGTTTGGGTAAAATAAAGGTTAAATAGGGTTAGGGTTAGGGCAGTCATCAAGCATTGTGAAACAGCAACAGATCACACATGTAAGGAGCAGGCTTGTGTTTGGCTGGTGTTTATAATATGTTTGTCATTTTAACACTCAATACATATGGTGTGTGTGTTTTATTGTTCAGGGTATTTTAAATGGCGAGAAGTACAGGATTGAAGAATTCTTTCAAAATGGGACAAGCTGCTGTTTACCACTAGATCCTGCTATTCATATAGCAGCAGTGGATATAGAGGTAAAGACAAAGTACATATATACCACATGTATGTATATATATATATATATATATATATATGAGTATTTTTTATTATATATTTTAAATTAACTAATTAATTTATGTAAAGAGACATTCTGAGGACACTCCATTCAAAACGATTTAACATTTAGTTTAAAATTGTTAACTGTGATCATTTTCAAACCCATGGACATCAACAGAGTAAGCATTTGTGTGTCTGTATGTGTGTTTCAAACGCTGTCTTTTATATTTGAGGCCTGCAAGTTTTACAACTCCAACGCAGCCCCTCTCGGGCTTTCATTCATCTGTAGTGACCCTCTTGCCAAGAACGTCAGCATCATCTGCAAAGTCAGTGCAATAGTTGTTTTCATATCATTAAAAAAAACCTGCCTGCTAGTATCTTACGGTGCTTTTGTGTGCTCTTAGACCGGAGATAATCTGCGTCAGGACATGCTGGTGCTGCAGATTGTGCGTATGATGGACCATGTGTGGCTTGAGGAGGGACTGGATATGCAGATGGTCACCTACAAGTGCCTCTCCACTGGCAAGACTCAAGGTCAGCATGTTGTGATGCAGGCTTTTTATTCATTTGTAAGCTCTTTGTATAAATATCTTTTCATTGTGGTGTTTCCAGGTTTGATAGAGGTGGTCCCAGAGGCCGTGACTCTGGGAAAAATCCATCAGGAGTGGGGTTTGAGTGGGACCATGAGAGATGACACTCTGGAGAAGTGGTTTCATATGTTGAACAAAACCCATGAAGACTATGAAAAGGTTAGTATCTCTACTCCCTCTGCTGGCTACTATATAGTATAGTATAGTATAGTATAGTATTTACTCTGTCTTAATTTTCCTGTTTCCAGGCTGTGACCAACTTCATTCACTCCTGTGCTGGTTGGTGCGTGGCCACTTTCATCTTGGGCATCTGTGACCGTCACAATGACAACATCATGCTGAAGAACACTGGCCACATGTTTCACATCGACTTCGGGAAGATCTTTGGCAATGCACAGAAGTTTGGCAATTTCAAAAGGCATGTGTCTAAAGGTCTTATATTACACACAATTGACTTTTGTGAACTTTAAGTTGTTATAATGCTTTTACCTCATCAAAAGCGTGTTGTGTTTTGTTTCATTCATACATGTTTGACTAATCCTTCATTATTAGTCTGTCCACATCTCTAAAGTTCAAAATGCTCTATTCCACCTTGTGATGTCAATGCTGTGATGAAGCAATAGTTTTCAAGTTAACAGCTGCTATTTACCTTTTATTCAGTGTAGATTAGCAGTTCCTGTGTTGAAACAAAGCAAATGTCTTTTTAAAAACAAAGTGCAGCACTTCCTGTATTGAGTGTCTTCTGTTTGAGAGAAAAACTCCTCTTAAATATGTAGGATTTGTGTGTTAAACATGTGTATTTAAAACAAAACATTATAACATAACCAGAACATGGTTCAATATCTGCCCTTTAATCTACTCAATTAGTTGTTTTAAATTTGTTCATTTGTATTGATTAAATTTAGGTTTTCATTGGTTTTGCAGGGACCGCTCACCATTCATCTTTTCCTCTGAGATGTGTCACTTCATCACATGTGGAAGAAAGAAGCCTCAGCGCATGCATCTCTTTGTGGATCTGTGCTGCCAAGCCTACAATGCCATTAGGGGGCGCTCTGCTCTTATACTCAGTCTGTTGGAGCTGGTAAAGCCTGAAGACCATGTGTGGCATTACTTTATATTTACATATCTGACAAAATACTTTTGTTTTCAGATGCTTCATGCTGGAATGCCTGAAGTGAAAAGCAATAGTGTTCTTCAGTTTGTTCAGAACAATCTCCGGCCACAAGACACCGACCTGGAGGCCACATCCTTTTTCACAATGTAACTGTAACGACAAACACTAAACAAAGCCATTCAAATATGACCTCCCAATGATGTTTCACATTTCATTTATTATAGGAAGATTGAGGAGAGTCTGAAATGTATGTTTGTGAAGATCAATTTTATGACACACGCATTTGCTCAAGGGAAAAAAACTGGTGGTGTAAACAGTGAAGGAGGCGGGCCTTCCACTAGTACGAACATCCAGGATGCTGTCATTGAAAATGTTTTCTCTGAAGGCAAACAAGTGGTAGGTCTCTTTTTGTCTATGGGTACTTTTTCATTTCTGGATGAACTGTGAGCCCAGAATTATAATGTTAAATAAAAAATAAAAGCATAAACCTATAGACAGCATGGGGGCTGAGTGGAAGACGGCACTCCACCAACCCAAAACATGCACAATAGGAGTAATCCTCCAGTTAGGTAGTCCTGAGACCTATTTTAACACTATCATCACTGTATGTCAAACTAAACAATTGTAACTTTTGTTACTTTGTTACTATTTTATAGTCTAAGTGAGTATTTTGTTTGCAGCTCTTTGACCTAAGAATAACTATCGATGATGGTTACACTGTGAGGAAAATGACATTTGGACAATTTGAACTGATCCACAAAAGAATTCAGAATCTTTTTATTGATTCAGCTCTGCCACAGTAAGTTGGTATAGAGTTTCTTATAAAATGTAACCGTTTTAAACTGATTTGCATTTTGGTCTTGTCTCTAGATTCCCCTCTTGGTTTCAGATGTCCTTCACACCTGCCAGAAAAATGTCCCTGCTCAACAAGTACTTAAAGCAACTCTTTGAGGGACCCTGCAAAGGGGTAAGCAGCTTTTTACTGGGAGACATTAATTATACTATATGGAGTATATCAATAATGTTTTTGTCTTTGTTCTGTTCATTGTAGAATGAATATGTGTGCACACTATTCATGGATGGTCCTGAAGAAGCCCAACGAACTCTTAACAGGGGTAATTTTCTTTGATACAAAATGATGTGTAACTAAAAATGATATACCATTTGTCTCTTGCACATGTAAAAATCTCAAATGTACAAACTGTTTGTAGAAGCCCGCCCTCAGATTCAGCTAAATCTTACTTATAAAGACAGCAAGCTCTCTGTGCTGATCAAACACTTGAAGAATATTGTAAGTTTTAAATATTGTGATTTAGAATGAAATTTTAAAAAATCACTGCTGACATGTTTACGCTTTATTTTAATCAGAAAACCTCCAACGGCACAAGCCTCGACACTTACGTGGTCACACGGCTGCGACCTGATCCACGTCTGCGCTCCAAGAAGAAAACTAAAATGGTTCGCAATAATGGCAACCCCACATTTAACGAACTGGTACTGCACTGCATTTCCAATATTAAACCATGTATGATGAACACAAAATAGAATTCAAAATGACCTAAATACTGCATGTGAAATGTTTACTTTCACAGATCGAGTATGACAACGTGCCTGCCAATTCAGTGTATGGGATGGTTCTGGAGGTCACTGTGAAGAGTAGGAAGAAATTTGTGGGTGCCACAAGCATTAAACTGGAAGAGGATTTAATGAACAATGAGCAGTGGTTTCCACTGGGCAACTGTGAAGTCTAGTGACAGGATGCTGCACTATGGAGCTTTGACCAGCAGAGGGGGCAGCTACACCAGAAGAAGTTCATAAGATACTGAAATCCTCAGCTATACAGGACTGATTTGTTATTGCCTTTATCAAAAACAACATATTTTCATTCCACAGTGTAACTCAGGCTGCTGATTTTGACCCACACTGGAACTCTGAAGGAAACTGTTTACATGTTTATTCTTACTACTGTGTTCAATCAAATGAAGTCATGGACTACCATATAATATAAGTGCTGCTGTCTAGTGTTAATGAAGTGATGCAGAGGTGTCCACTCCACAGCATCATGGACACTGTCTGCTCAGTGTTTGGGCCATGGATCTATTAACATAACTTGGACTGTTATTTTTTTGGTTTGGACTGAGTATGACGTTGACCATTGGATTTGACGAGAGATGGGGAGGGCTTCCATTTTACCCTTTCCCCAAACACTAGACTATATTATTTTGGGTGTTCTTATCCAAAAAGCAGGCAAGGTCATGGATGTATATATTATGTAACATATACATAGTTTTAAAATGCATTTTCTGTCATTAAAAAACAAAACAAATAAAAACTATGACATGGTTTGTTTCTGTTTTGATGTTGCTACTTTAGGCACACTTTGCTAGGTTTTCGTGAGTGAGAGGGAATTTTATGTATACCATACAAAAACAAAAAGAGAGGCTGGATCCAAGCTGCTCCCATCCCGGGCTCGGAGGGGCACCCAGCGGTAACCTATTGGGCCAGAAAAAGAAGTCATGAGTCATTATTGTGTCTCATACAAGTCTGCTCATCAATACTGCTGACACGCCACATGCATGTAATACAGTAAGACTCACAAAATGTCCCTTGCTGTAAGTGAAACCTGCTTTAACCTTGGTTTTACCCCACAGGCTCACCTTTCTTCATGCTGAGGAAGGGCAGGGTGTACTGGCCCACAAACTCACTGCTGAAGAAGCCGGTCCGGTCCCGCACACAGAAGCGTACCAGGCTCAGCTCCGGTATGGTGATATTAAAGGTCATGACTGTCCCCCAGTACGGACTCAAGGCTAAAGGGTCATAAAACCACACAAGAATCACCATTCACTTCATTATGTGGGATGCTTTTATACTTTCTCATGTTATTGTTTTTATACAGCACTTTTGAAACAATATATGCAACATTTTGAGGATGTTTGCACATTCAAAAGATATACTTTTGTTTTAATTGCTATGGCAACAGTCCAAATTTTTCATCATTGACCCCAACAGAATTATTTTCTATCTAGGTATGCTGAACCACACTGGTGTTTTACCCAAACAAGAAACAAGAAACAAATACTTCTGGGCTAAATATGTTGGAAATCTACAGAAATTATAGAAATGAAATGTGACTTACTGCTGGGTAATAAATACAATTTTTATCAAGATCGAGATTCAGTCTTGATTTGGAGTCCAGACTTTGGTGGAAGAAGCTGGGTCTTTTTTCTTTTTTTCTTTTGTTATTGATCATAAAGATCAAACCAACTGATGATGATGATGATGATGATGATGATGATGATGCACTACTTACAATTGTTTTTGATGGTTTGTGTTTTCTCCTTGCGGATATCACAGGTTGCTCCATGGATCTCCACTTGAACAAAGGGATCCATCGGCTTCCCACCAGTCACAGGTAAGTTAGACCCACTGATCACCTGATGAATGCACAAGGACAACCAAAAATAATGGGGCTTAGCAGAGAGAGCAGAGAAGATGAGAGAAAGGTAAACAACTTAAATTAGGGCTGTAGTTATTAAAGTCCAGACTTTTACTGAGTTAGTGGTCCAAGAATTAAAAAAGTATTTGGGAAAACCAATACTCAAGTAACAGTAACTTAAAGAGTAACTGTTGGGACATAACACCTGGTTTATAATTTGAGGACAATGGGATGAGTATTGTTACTTCAATAAAAATATTTCTCTAGTAAGAGTAAGATACGCTGCTAGAAAAGTACAATTTATTTTAAAAAGTACTAAAGTAACCTGTAATTGAGTAAATGTAAGAATGAGTACTACCGACCTCCAGCAGTACTTAAAGGATAATTATATTATTATATTCTACATTCTACATTTTGTGATGGAACTCTATTTTATGGTGAAAGATTAGAAGAAAAAAAAAAACATTGTTCAAAATGCATAATTTAGGATTTACTATTTAAAAGCACCAAATGCTGGCCCTGTCTCTGAGTCACAAGACGGCACAGAATCCCCTGAAGTTATAAAACAATACAGCGTGATGATGCACATACATTTTTTTTATCTCTCTGGGTACAAAAACCCAGAACATCGCATTTATATTTAATACATATTGCCTACAGCATCTGAAAACTTATAGTGTGTAAAAAGTGCTATTTTTTAATATTTGATTTTCTACAACTACTATACATTTTATATATTTCTTTAAGTGAAATGGTTTATTATAACTATAGACATTGGAAGGCATGCTGTTCAAATAACAGTGTTAGATGTGGGAGCGAGGTTGTGCTATTATGAGTTTCTTTAGCGTGCCCTTCAGTGATTACCCTTAAATTTCTTATTTAGTTCAACATCAACAAGCAGCTATTTAAAGAATTAAGAAATTATTAGAATATTATGTCTCTAAACTTATTAGAATAAAGATCTGGCATAGTGCCAACATGCTGTGTAGAAATCTGCCACAAATGCACCTAGGCTGATGCTAAATAGAGTGGAGCTAATTGATTAATTAGACCATGAGTATAATTGCATTAGCACTGTGTCCTCTTTCTGGGGTAGAGCATCTAATTAAATGAAGTCATTATTATGGAGTTTTACATCATTGTTGGTTCACAGGACCAACAAGGAACCCTGGAGGGAAGCCATAGAAAAACCTGCAGTTTGAAGGGCAAATATATAATTATAAAACTAATTGTTTATATTATCTAAACCTGTTATATTAATACAAAAAAAAGTTAGCTGTGTACCTTTATCATCACATTTCTGGCTGTGGTGCTGTGGTGACCCCATCCTGGATCAAAGCTTTTTGTAGACATGAGCACGTTTGGTTTCAGGATGTACCCACAGCCTCCATTATCCTGGAAACGGCCATCACTGAGGTCCATGGCGAGGTCCATCGACTGGAAATTAAGGGCCACTGAAAAAATATACATATACCATTATAAACAGTATGTCAAAATGAATATGATAATAGTGGTGGCTCTGTGGGACAAGTTTCATCAGAGCTGGATAATATATTTAAAAGTGAATAGCTAACACTTAGGCACAGTGTCACCCTGTGCTTTGCAGCAGGCGTGACTCAGAGCCCGGTGTGAAGAAGAGGTGCAAAAACAGCAGTGTCAGACATGTCAAAGACCAGGGTGTAGCCACAGTTAAAACATCACTACATCCATTTAAATCATCATTAACACTGATGTGCCCATCTGTAATATAAGTTTACCACTAATAAACTAACAAGAAAGTTTAGTCATAACCAGTTGTTGTACCCTTGGGCAAGCCCCTTAATTCAGATAGCCAGTATAAATTGGGTGGGAGTGAAGTTGTTAAATTGCCTTTTATTTGTGTTAGTGAACATTGTTACATGTTTCTGCTGTATTTTGACTACTTTCACGTTAATTTAATGAGGCACTATGTAAGTTTTCTGGTGGAGGGGCTACCACCTGTTTTTCTCCATGGAGATGTTATTGCTTTGCTTTGTTTCACCAGAACAAGTTACAGATCAGATCTCTAGTGAGATGACCCTGCTCACAGTAAGTTTTTCAAGGGATTTTCTTAGCAATTAAAACACTTGTATTTGAATAAATAAAATAAGTTAGATATATTTAAAGCTATATTGTGGAAAAGCAATAGGATCTCCATGGAAACATGCACGTGCACCAGAAAAGTTGCATAATTATAATGAAACCTATTTCACAGTGTCCTTAATCGTACCAAGCTGAGCACCGACATTCCAGAACTTCTGTGGGTTATAGTTGGAGGAGGTTGTGCGTGAGCCCGCGGGGTAGATCCTGCTCAGGAACCTCTGATTGTGACTAACAAAGTCTGCACCTGAAAATGAGCAGCAACACCTAAAGGTCAGTGACACCTCCAACACATTCAACAACCTGCTGAAACCAACAGTCTGATTCACAAAACAGCCCCCAGCTACAGTTATATATTCTCTAAGTAGACTCTTAATATATTTGCATTTCTTTCTAATTAGACTAAAATACTTCCTCTAGTGACAACCCAACTAACATCTTCCCTGAGTGGTGTTTTCCAAATTGATTCACCATAGCGTTCAAGCTAGATGCAGCTATCTCAACTGGGACTGCACAATATGTTGCAAGCTTTAACAATAACAGTAACCAGTAAGCAACAATATTTGCTTATTGGTTACTGCAGTAACTATGTTGTCAGGTTATACATGGTTGTAGTCTTTTTTTGCACTATTAAAGGTGTATAATGTAACTTTTTCTCATGGGAGGTCTGCCACTTGCTTGTCTTCATGCAGATGTTATTATACACTTGGTGATGGTCTTTTTTTTTAACCAATCAAAGCAACTATAGCAAATAAAAGCAATAAAAAGCTAAAGCAATAAAAATGGAGACCAGCAGAAAATGATCCCTTCACTAGAAAAGTCATGTTACGTTTTTACCATGACACTGGTTATTAATAAAGCCATTTGTTTAATTAGCTGATCTTACTACATAATGACTATATATCTAATCATCTGACTACATCCTCCATTACCTGTTCCCCCTCACTATCTCCTCCCTCTGCACTGGCTGCCTGAGTCACTGTGTTACCTGCGGACTTGACGAGCTTGCTGGCCTTCTTCTCAGGAAGGGAGGTGTTTTCGTAGCTGTTCTGGTTGTCTCTGGAGTGACTGAAGCTGATGAACTTTACTGATGTGGTGTAGATGACCAGATCTGACAGAGCCTCAGCCACTACCTTCTTCTACCCATCCAAACAAAAGGCACAATAAATATTACACTAATCTAATTTAATAATCAAGTAACATGTAATTAAAGCTTGAAAATGGCCATTTTTGGCCATTTTCAACAACCTTCACTATTATCAATCCTAAAACTGAAGGCATTGGTTTCACTGAGTGTTTAATACAGGTCCACACAAACATTCTACTAGAATAATTCAATTTACATCATGGCATTGTTTATTATGGTTAATATCCTATGAACCTGAAATATGAACATGAGCTCAATCTATGTTTGTGTTTAATAGTAGTGTAGTACTGTAGTCTGGTTTCTGTAGCCTGTTTACATCTGGTGGTACCCGGAAAGTCATATTATCTGAAATAGTATTGGTAATATGAATGAAAAGTTTGAGAACTTCTGCATTCAATGCAGTCAATGCAACACAAACAAAACCTGTTCTAAACCCTCTACACCATATCACTTTATCTGAAGTCCATCAAAGTCAGGGGTTTCTTTCACCACTCTGCTCTGAAAGTCTGACTTACTTTCTTCTTGTGCTCTTTCTGGGCTGGTCTCGGGGACCAGAACATGACTTTGTTCTTGAACTTTTTGCCTTCCTCTTCTTCATAGTCTGAATCTAGATCATCCTCCTCCTCCTCTTCCTCCTCTTCCTCTGCACTGTCGTCTATGTTTGTCTCTGTGGCTCCCTCACTCCTGTTAAACTTCATCTTCTTATTCTTAATGAGGATCTTATACTTCAGGTCCTGGCATTGCAAATGGGTTAAGTAGTATCAGTACATATTCGGCAAAACGTTATAAGTAGTTCCTCTGTTTTTATCCATTTAGGTAGTAAATTTAAAGTCAAATTATTTAGCTAGTTATTGCTTTTCCAAGAATGTTGGCACAGTAAGGCATTAAACTTGTTAAACTTCTCCATGCTTAATCTGTTTTTGAGCAATAAAACCATCTGTAATTAAATTAATGCGAGATACGTTAATGCCATCCATACTGTGGAACATTTCAGGCATCATCTCCATGGAAACCAGCAGGTGGCAGCTCTTCCACCAGTCACCAATCCACTTACTAGCAAACAAATCCATGTCTGTGTATTATATTTCACATCCTACAAATTGTACACACATTGTTTACATTACCCACAGCTTGAGTTCACATATTCCAGTCTTGAGTGCAGGTGGCGATGCTTTGGTGAACCACAAGACAGGAAGTTACCTCGAATGTTGCACTTGACTGTACACAGGGGCCAAGTATGCATAAAATAATTACTGCTCTGCCCACATTTACTGGCCTTTAGTAGCCTATGCCCCATGTAAATTATACATCTGTGTGCCTTTCTCTCCACAAAATGATACAGACCAGCAAACTGGAGCGGAGGCTGTGCTCATGTTGATGTAATTTATGATATTATGAGATTTCTGAGGAGACAGTAAAAAATAGTCCCCCGTTATGAGTTGTTAATGAACTAGGGCTCATATCTAATCTGACAATAACAGTGAAAAATTAGCCTGCCCTGCGCTCTGCATCGGTGACGCATTAGTGAACCCCTGCACAGACAGCCTATGGTGCAACAGCAGAAAGTGTTTTTGGCATCTAATTTAGCTTCTGTTGTTTATCCAATTAGGACACTGCTGAGGCATGGAGCTCTATGAATGTGATACATGAGTTTAGGAAGAATATGGGAAGTTTTAGAGTCAAGAGGAAGCGTTTGGTGTGAAGTCTGTACCTGTCTGTCCTCACTTTATAATGTTAAATGCTGATTTATTTTGGTTTTAAAATAGATCATACTTGGCAAAACTGTGTTCAGTAGAAGTGCACTGGTTCTTGAGTGAAGATTCATTTCTTATTTGGAACAGGTGGTATGTATCGAAGGTATTGATACTTCAAATTGAATTTGGTATCAAGTAGCAAATCAATGCTCTCCTAAAATAATGGACCATGAAATGTGTTTTTCTAAACAGAGCTCTGTGAGGCCATGCACCTCTGATAGATATTTCAACCTCCTTAGTTGAACGGATCATGAGATATTTGCAAATAATCGATTGGACTATGTCAAGAGCATGAGTAAGACCATTTACCAAAATGGCCACATTTGCCACCACTATCAACACCTTCCTAAAATAAAATAATTGCCTAAGTCATATTGTGCCACATGTGCCATAGAAAACATGGCCTAAGTCCTGTTTAAAATGTGTCAAAAGACCATCAGACAATGGCCTCATTTTGAAGTGATTTTGTGGCTCTGTGTTACACAATTGACTAACATAAGTATATAATTTCATATCTATTAATCTTATCTTTTTGTATGAAAACATTATCACATATTGTGCAGTTTTCAGTTGGTACATCTTTTTTCTCGGTAAAATCTGAAAAAATGACTTTTAGGAGGGCATCAACATCATAACCAATACATGAATCAGTTAATATTCCCCAAAACTAGTCCTGAAAGAAATCGAAGCCTCTTCGTCATTGGGGTCAAAAACTACATTCGTCCCTAATCTACTGTTAATGTCTATTGACAGATAGAGTGATCCTGCGCCATCTTACACAGCAGTTATTTTGTCATATTAGTGAAGTAATCAAACCTCAGAGAGCCTAATCGAAATGAACAATTTGCCTAGTGCCTGGGGTGTTTCAGACTGACATTCACTGTTCAAATCCAACCCCATCAATTACATTTAGTGGAAGTAGGAGAGTGTGTGAATACTGATGTCCATCTACTGTTGTTCGTCCTGGGGGGAGAGAGGAGCAGGGGGGAGCAGGGCGCCTCTGAATAAGACTAATTAGGCCCATAGTGAGTCCAATTCTCTGCCTATATGAGCCTCACAAGCTCCAGTGCCTCCTTTCTGTGCCTATGGATCAAGTATGAACTACAAATGCATTTTAGATAACTCTACTCCAGCCTTGTGACTTACATCTGGACTTGGGAGTTCTCCCGTGGTGGCGTGGTTCAGGGGAGAATTTAACAGTTTGTCCCCCAGAATGGACACCAGATAGCTGGCCATGACCTCCTGCTGCCTCCTGGAACAGTGGTTCTCCAGCGAGAGGATGACAGGATAAGCAGACACCTAGTGGAAATATGTGGAAGTTAAAATTATATTCAGTAATGTGTTGAAATGATCCATGAAGAACGCAGGGTGAATAGCAAATAAAAATTTCATGTTGTAACATGTTCCTAGTAGCTGAGTTGGATTCTTAAAATAAAACTGTAACATCAATTACACAACTACCACTATTACACAATCAATGCTGATGCCACAAATACTGGGATCTCCTCTCCTCAGATCTGCCTGTAACTTGGTATGGTGACATCACTTGCTTGTCTCCATTGGGAAAGATATGTTTAATGCCATTCTGTGGTATATTCTAGGCCAAGTAACAACATCTACATGAAGCCAGTCAGGTTGCAGACCCTCCATCAGAAAAGTTCTACACTGCGCCTTTAACTAAAAGTACATTCCATTTCAAATGCACTGCACAGGTAATCAAAGTGTAGAACATTATCAGTGACAGATTCATCTAGGATCTTCACATTTTTCCATGTGTTCCATAATTATGAAACATTAGGACAGTTGCCATAGCAATTAACAATTTAAAACTAAATATTTTATCTTTTGAATGTCTTCCAAATGTTGAAACTTCTGAATATGTAACCAAAAACTATACTTAAATACATGAATCAGTTACACTATCCTCTAGACTCCTAACATCAAAGAACATGTCATGTAAAATGTCTGTGCTTGTGGAGATGTTTAATGAGAGCAGATCCTTCTCAATGGGGACTCTTATTGCCTACAGAGTAGATGCTAGAGCTCTGACTGAGAGCCTGCAGCATTACAGAACTCAGTGGTGTTACCTCAAAGGCATGCTGTTCGATGGTGCTGATGACATCCTTGAACAGGATCTTGTTGGTCAGGGTGTAGCCGTGGTACACGACGGGCTCCAGCTTGGGCCCGTCCCAACAGTCGATCTCCAGGCAGCGGCAGCCTTTTCTCAGAGCGCTGTACACACAAGTATACCATAGCATTAAACGCCCTCACCACGAGAGGAATTCAGAACGAAAGGACTAAACTTGAAACAGAAGCAAAATAATGACAGTTTTATAATTTTGTAAATTGACTTCCTTTCCTACCATTACTACAAGAACATGGCTATTACATGCATGTACTGCACTGTTGTAAATCAAAGTACAAAACAGAATGAAAGCTACATACTAACATGAATATTTGATTGCAAACTGCAGTCACATGTACACTTAATGCTTCATACACTTCACATTCACATTGTATCTGCCTTATTTTATATGTACATAATTACAGTACAAACTGAATGTGTTGTTTACTACTGGACAACTCAACTCAAGTATGACTGTATCATTTAGTACAAATATAAGAAGGAAAACAGCTATCTAATCTAACATATTTCTTCTATGGCTAATGGAACTTCCAAGTAAGGGTTTCCAAACTAGGTTCTGGAGCCAAATGTGATTCTCATGCCTATTTTTATTAACTTTCCGACGTCCTGCTGAATAAAGCTTATGCAGATGACATCACAATGTTTGCATACAGGTAATTTGGATTTTAATTCTCCATCTGTACTACTTGATTTTCGTAGAATAAGGACCCAACATAAACCCTTGTGAATGAAGACAAATGTGCATCTGACAGCTTCAGCTTCAGTAACATTAATATTTCATCAAACTGTGCTTCAAATGTACATTTTATGCCCTCTTTATTATTGCATCATCTTTTCCTCTAGTATCTTGCTTTTTTATTATTCTGTTCTATTTTACCGTGAGAACTTCACAATTTGGGTTTTTTACCACCACTACTCAAACTGAGTTAGAAGGTGCAAGTCAATCCCTGAACAGAGGGATTATTATTATTATTAGTAGTAGTAGTAGTAGTAGTAGTAGTAGTAGTAGTATTACGTGAAGGATGTGTGAAGTGATTTGCTGGCATCACAACACTAGTCTATTTCTTTGTAAGAAGAACTTTGTAATGTTTCGGTGCATAAATCATCTAGTATTCTCCACTAGCTCAAAATGGAGTTGCAGCAGTTGTCTCGACCCATACGCACTTTACATACATTTATTTATAGATGGAAGCTCACTAAATTATGTATTGTTGCATGTATTGACTTCCTTTCCCAGTATATATAAGCAATGCCTCTTCTCTAACTGCTCTTTCATGATTTCAGCAGAGCTCCCAGTCCAGTGGCTTTGAGGCTGACCGGAGGGGCTCAGCACTCTGCACCATTCACAGCGTAAATACAGCTCTTCTGCAGTCATCAGCCCCTTTTGTAATCGCTCCCATTGTCCCACAGAAGAGCCACAGTCATTTCCCTGTCTGCTTCACGAGTGATACACAGAGAGCCAGAGAGAGTCCAGAGGAGAGGGGATGATGGACACTAGTGGAGATGTGGCACTAAAGGGAATGGAGCAGGTACTTTATGTCAGGAGTACTTAAAATCTGTTCTATTGGGATTACTTAAGTGTTGAGAGTCATTTTACTTACACAGCTGTCAAGTTAATAGGTCTGAATATAAGAGGTTTTTTTATGTTGTAATATTGTATCGTAAGCAAAAACATACCTGGAGTTTTGTTTCATTCACACATGTTTAACACAATAATCCTGCACACTTAGGCAGATAGCACACTCCACGCTGTGATGTCATGTGGTAATACAGGAAGTGCTTTGCTGTGTTTTTAAACTCCATACACCTTCACTACTTTACATTTGGATGATTTCAGCCCTGGAATTGCCAGTCTTTACAGAACAAAAGGTAAACGGTAGCTTTTAACTTGAAAACTACCGCTTCATGACATCATAAGGTGGAACAGAGCATTTTGAGATTTGGAGATTTAGACAGACTTATAATAAAGGATTACTCAAATATGTGCAAAACTAAACACAAATCGAGACAGACTTTCATGGCTTAAACCTCATAAAAATCAATTTTGTGTAATGTAGGCCCTGTAAAGTAATATGTAAATTCTTGGAGACATACATGACATAGGCGCTCAGGTCACTTTGTCCAACGAGCTGGTCCCCAGTCAGGTAGGTGTTGTGGGAGGTGGAGATGAAGTAGCTGGTGAGTGGCTGGTTCATGTCCTGGTACACCTGAGTGTGGGCCTGGTCAAAGATACTGCAGTGTTTGGACTCCATGAACCGCAGGAAGCCCTCAAATGACATGCTTCTGTTGACTGGAGAAACAATACAATAATGAGAAACAATATTGGTGATTCAAATACAACAACTAGTACTGTTATACTGTACTGTAGGAGCACTAGAGACATTTTTAGGTGGACTGTCTGAAACTTTCCATTCTCCACTGACATGTTTTTTGTTTTACCTGAAATGTTAGAATGACATTAAACTGAGTCATTTCCATAAAGACAAGCGGATGACGCCATCAAACCACGTATTTTTGGGGAATACAGATGCCTGTAATTGAATAAATATTGCACTTTTAAAACTAGCATCATACTAGATATTAAGGTAGTGGGTCCACAACCTGCTAGTGTGCATGTTGTTGCTTTACTTTGAATGTTCCACACTATGGCATTAAACTTTTCTAATTAACATTGTATTGCTCATAAATACCTCTAAAACATGCATTCTTACTGTGACTCACCTCTCCACAGATCTAACCTGTAATTTGGCCTGATGGCATTCCCTGCTTGTCTCCATGGAAAAAGATGCTATGAAACATTAAAGGCTATTCAACAACATCTCCATGGAGACCATAAGTTGGCAAACCAAAAAGTTAATACACCATATTGTCTTAGGGTGGAATGAAAGTGAATACAGTTTGATCTGGACTTGATCTTGAGACCAGGTGAGACTGTAGTTTGAGAGCATAAAAGATGTTAACAGACAAAGACAGAACACAAATCTTTACAGTTCTATTTCGAGCAGCCTTGTGCGATGAAGAAATGCTGGGCCACCTGAGGCTAAACTGAGTACAAAGAACACATAATCTAAACACATAATCTTTGGTGTTTCCTTTCTATTCATATTAATGTATGCATTTAATTACCCAGCAGAGGGTTTTAAGAAGTTCCATATTTTACTAGTTATACTTGAATAACTAGGCTACCTGCAGAGCTGTGGGTGTGTGAGGAGCATCTGTTCTGTGAGACCCTGATGTGCATTCTCCTTCTGCCACATTGTTCCCACTGTCTTTGGGCTCATGTTATTACACCACTGGGGCTGAGACACTTATGTAAGGATTCATTTAGCTGTGTTATGTCTGGGAGGAATTAGTGTTCCTAAAATGATTGTTTCACAGAGGTGGTTGTCATTTTCGAGTGATATGCAGAAGGCTCTACTGTGTGAAAAGTTGGGTTAGTGACTTTCATTATTTTATTAAGTACTATGCAGTGTTAGGGGTGTTTGTGACACTGACAAAACTTTATGCCTCAGTATTTTTCAGACGATATGTCAATCCAACAAAAATGTAAAATATGTATTTAAATGTATTTATATGGTTTATATATCAGACAATTGTGAAACTACTGCAGTATTACATTGTATTAATATTATATATTAATATATCCATTTCTGCCCCAAAGTGCAGAAATATCACTTCATACATTTATTTTGGATATATTCAAATTTGGATTTTTAAAAGTTTTTTTGTTTGTTTTTGTTACGATTGATATTCAATAGTTAATACACAGTTCAGTGCTTCTTTCACTGCTACTTGAAATATGATTTATGCATAATTTCATGTTTTGTCCTTCCAACTACATTGACTTATATTTATAAATCAGGGGTTATAGTCTGACAATTACTCTACAATTACTCTTACTTTAGTAGTACTTTCCCCAAATGCTTAAAAAATTGTACATGTTTATTTCTTGCAGCACTACTTTATCCTTAAAAAATAAAATCTGTCCTTCAGTCCGCTCTCACTCACTGCTCTCATTGATCTCATACAGGTCTATGAGTTCCTCAGCATGCTCTTCGTTGGCAGACAGCTCCATTTGTTGTTCATGGAGGAACCGGAGGAGACCAGACACAGACAGAGAGACCAGGCCTGAGGCAAAGGTGTCAAACAGGCACTGGATATCTGCTCTCCTGGTAGTCTGAGGTTTGCTTTTCCACATCCTCACCTGCAGCAGACAATACAATTCTTCTTCACTATTATATAGTTATCAACACAATGGATTCACATAGGCAAGACTGTGGAGAGGCCTTTGTGTGGCATGATATTATGGTCAGTGAAATCTGACAACTAGCATAATCATTTTTGCTGTGTGTTTCTGACCATTAAGAAGATGTGGTGACATCAGAAAAAAACTCATGCCAATTGTAACCACAACTAAAAATAGTTCACTTTTAAATCTGACAACCTTTTGGCTGTCCATGAATGTTCAAAGCATTATTATTTCTGCTAGTCCCTCCTAACAGTAGATATGGTGATGCTCTATAGTGATACAGAACAGTGATTAACTGCTGCTGGAATTCCTGTGATTCGATTCGAAGTGAATTTCATTTAGGATTTTTCCATAACAAATAAAGTGCCCACTCTATTCTACCTTTTGAATGATGAAAAGTCCTCAAAATGGCATCCATAAGAGGAAAAATGTGACTAAAATCCCATGAATGCAGATAGGTTGCAGATATTTTATTTCAATAACATGTCTTTTATGCACACTGCAGTTTGGAGTAAAATAGTATATTAGTGTAGTAGTGTAGTATAGTATAGTATTGTATAATTAGTAATAAAAATACTCATACTTACTCTTTATTAAGTGGAGCTAATATGATTGACTGAGATTCAGGAGCAGGACCACGCCTCAACCTCCAGCAAACCACAGATCAGCTCAACCACATCTTCATTTACCCAGAAGCCCTATTTATACAGGTCTATCCCGACAACACTGTTTGTCTCCGCTCTCGACCTCGTCCCTCCCACCCCGTATCTCTTGTTCATCCTTCAGCCTGAAGACATCATTTACAAGGAGGGGGAAGAGGTCCAGAATTGGCTGGGCTGACCACTTGAGACAAAGGCCCCATCCAGACTCTCCTCCCAGCCATCACATCTATCCATCTTCAAGAAATATTTTTATCATATTCCATTGTTGTGGCATGGTCCTTGCTAGAGAACCATACTTAAAACCATAACGGACTAACAGATCACATAGATATTATGTCATGTACAGTACGTTTTGTATAAGCTAAGTTACTTGTATTGTCAGCAGCATATTTGCCCTTGTGTGGTGATTTGGCTGAGTTACATCTGATAACGCTCAGACACTATCTTACTGACAGTTTTCTAATATCTCAAAGCACGTCACTTTCTAAGAAACCCAGATAGAAGTACACCTCAGAGTTGTATCTCAGTTGTGACGGGTGCTGACTAACCCTTTACACCGCATAAGGACAGATAAAGCAGCCATCTCCTCTCCTATCTCAAACTCCCATCATGCACAGAGCCAACATCTGTGGCTCTCTCATGGTGCAGTCATTTCTGTCTGTGTCAGAGAGTGTCTCCACACCTTTTATCTGTGTATTGTGCAGGCAGCTCTCCCGTAAGCCACTATAGAGGCTGGAATAACACTATGAACTGCTCAGTTACATTAACATTTAATCCAGCCGAGTCGAGGAAAGAACTTATCTAGATACAGTTTGTAGGCTTATTTATTTTAGGGCACTTGAAACTTAAAGGTTTTATTAAGGTTTTATTACACAAAATTGACTCTTGAGGTTTAAGCCATGTTATAATGTTGTTACCTCATTAAAAACATACCTGGACTTGTGTTTTGTTTCAGTCACACATGTTTGAGAAATCCTGTGTTATTAGTCTGTCTATTTCATAGACTGCATAAAGAAGTGGACTCAGCGTCACCCATAGCGTTTGGCTGCACTCATATGGGGCTCGCGATGCTTGCAGTTATAGGAGCAAATTTGGAGCCAGGCTCTATATTATGCTATTTTTTTAAAAACAGACAAAATAGCACCAAGATCATGTAGCAAGGGTTAATACGAACAGTTTAAGAGCAAAATGTCAATGATTACTGCAGCAGGTACAGAGGGAGGGGCCACAATATTCCAATGTAAATCAATGGGAGCCAGGGTAAGAAGGAGCTGGAAGCGTCTCCATGCTAACCTCCTATTTGGAACGCAGAGGCTAGTGCATTAGCTATGTCCATATATATATATATATATATATATATATATATATATATATATATATATATATATATATATATATATATATATACACATATATATATATATATTCTATCTCCAAAGCTCAAAATGCTCTGTTATCCCTTGTGGTGTCATGAAGCTGTAGTTTTCAAGTTAACAGCTACCTTTTACTTTTTGTTCAACAGAGATTGGCAATTCCAAGGCTGAAATGATCTAAATGATTCACGAGAACGTGTATGGAGTTTAAAAACACAGTGGAGCACTTTATGTATTGCCACGTGACAAAACAAGGTGTAACAGAATATATTGTGCTTGAGAAAAGAACTCAGCCCAGATATGCAGGGTTTGTGTGTTAAACATGTGTGATTGAAGCAAAATACAACTCCAGTTGTGTTTGTGATGAGGAAACAACATGAACGTTGAAACATGTTAGATCAGAAACTAGTGCATTATGGGTCCTTTAATTTATGGTAGTTATGGCAACACATTTTAGTTTTTTAGTAATGTTAATTTAAAAAGTTTTGTAGCTTCTGTCTTTTTGGCTAGCTATAGATCTTGGGAGTCAAAAACTTTACATTTTCTGGCCAGACACTGGTCAGACAAATCAAGAAGTCTGAGATGCACAGTGTAAATGTTTCAGCAACAGTTTGCTGCAGCAAAACTTGAATTTCCCGCAGAATCAATAAAGTATCTCTCTCACTGGTCAGATACCAGTCAGACAATTCTCTCACTAACAATGCCAGCATAAATTCATCATTGCAGTTTTCAGTAGACTTACCTTGAATTGTGTATGTATCCTCAATAAATCCTCAAATTTGTTAGTTGGAAAACCAGTTAAAGTTACGATTTGAAAAATGTGTCATTTTTTGACTCGTTTCTAAGGAAGTTCAGGCTGCTGCGTTGCCATGGAGACAAAAACATTCCGACCCTCTGGGCTGTTGTGAGGGGAATAGAGGACATGATAACTGCATGGTTTTTCTGTGGGCTGCCATGCGAAGAATACAAGTCACCAATCTGCCCATTTATGAGACTGGCATGTGAATACGTAGGCTACATCAAGTGAATTTCACCCAGAGATGTTATGACTCATTTAATTGTACGATTTCATTGTGGATATTAGTTTTAAACACTTTTTATTTGACTAAAACATAGTTAACATAATTACATTTAAAATTAACTAAACATTTTTACCTAGTTGAACAATTTTGGTGAAGGTTATAATTTTACTTTCAGGTTGGACATGGGCAAATGTGGCCGATAGAGGTACTTTAATAACTTGCAAAAATACAGTAAACGGGGCCAAAGCTTGTCTATTTTACACAGTAGTTAAATAAATTAAAATATATGATGACACCTGCACTTTGGCAAGTTAATGTTTAAACTACCACAATAATCAGTGCTTGGCTTATGGAAATGTGTTCTGTTTGTATGGACCAAAGTCATTAGTATGTTTTAAACCTAGAAGCTACTTTCTGTAATTTTCAACTTTTTCAGACCTTTATTTGCATACTGACATGCAACCTCACTCAGGCTATGACCATTATATTACCTCAAACCTCATCTAACTTTTGCACAGTGTCCTTGAGTATTTCCAATGAGCAGCAATACTGCCATTGTGCCCTTGTGCAAGACACTTCATCAACATCGGTTTCAGTGCCATGTCCCATATTCTTATGTGTAATTCTCTCTGTTTGGTGGTGATCAGGCAAGCTGTTGGCATGGTGGGTGAATGAATAATGGAGTCATAAAGTGCTTTGGGAAGCTTGCAATATAAATCTAACCCATTACTCACCCTCTGTGTGTGCGTGCGTGTGTGTGTGTGTGTGTGCGTGTGTGTGTGTGTGCATGTGTGGGTGGGTGTGCGTGTGTGGAGTCTGCATGTCCTCCCATCGTCCTGCATATGTTAGGCAAATGGATCTGTCAGAACATTGTTTACGTCAGTGTAAGACGTGTGATTACTGGTCTTGTTAAAGGAGCACTATGTAACTTTTATGGTGAGTGGTCTGCAACCTGCTTGTTTCCATGGAGATATTAATGCTTTCCCTGATGCATTAAGCATGGCATTAAGCTTATGTTTATTGTATTTAATCTATTTCATTTTTACTGTCAAAAATACCTCGAGAAATTGACCTAACAATATTGTTTTGAGTACCGTGAAAAAAGAGCATTCAGATTGTGAACGGGCTGACTTCTCCACAGATTTAACCTGTTACTTGATCTGGTGACACCAACTACTTGTTTTCAGTCCAAATTGAGACTTATTTTACATGATTGTGTATCTAAATGAACAAGATAAAACTCAATGGTGAGTGAATCTAATATTTAACTTCTATTTGATTTAGTTTTATCTGACGTGACCATCCGCAGGGGCCTTATGTGGATTTGAATGCTAGTGGTTTAAGGTGAAGCAGTGGTGCACAACAGTAGTTAATGCTTGGTCACAGAGGAGCAGAGTGTTCCTGTCTGCAGTGGTCTGTGATGGCCAGGCCCTGGGCTTGTCAGAAGCATTGGCAGTGCAGGTTTGATGGGATAATTCCCCGGCACTGAACAGGGAGCCCCAGTCCATGCATCACTGCACCTCTGCACGGGCTGCTTGGCTGGACACTCAAGCAAAGTGTGTGTGTATATATGAGCACAGAAAAGGAATAGATGTGGAGTAAAGCATTTAAATATGAACACTATGGGGACTCTCTACAGAATAACTTGGGTCCAGCCACTCCTACCCATACCCACACAGTTAATTGCCTCTTTAGCCAAGACTAAATGCTTATCCACTTACTTTATAAAATATATATGTATTCTGGAACTGAATCTTCTGTCCTGGAGTTTTTGTTGGGCACGATTGATGTGGCTAGAAAGAGAAATATTTTATTGGATAAGTCAATAAATGTACAGACTGAGAAAAATTGTGCTTGTGTAGATTTGGGCTGAATTCATAAATTAAGTACTAAATACA